CGGCGGCCAGTTAGCGTCCCCTCCATTCCGCCGGGGCTCCTTTTGTGACGTCAAAACCCACCCCGGTGGCGCCTGGGGGTAGGTCCGCGGCGGGACATCTTGAGTGGGACCAAGGCCCTAAATACAAGGTTGCACGGACTAATTTCTACTAAATCTACCAGAATATAATTTCACGGTTGGGTATTTTAATAACTATTCAATCAAAACTTCTTTATTATTTTCTCGTTATCATTTATAAGCAATTTTATAAATTGACTTTCAATTAGCATGCCTTTTACTGGCAAAATAACTTTCTAGTATTGGGTCAACATAGTTGTGTAGCAGTAGGAACCATATCTGGCAAAACCCCAATGCCTACATACAGCAGAAAAGCAGCCACCAGGTGTCGCCACAGTCGCCACTTGGTCGCCACACAGATGTCGCGCGCGTCGCCAATCGCCACACTACCGATTTCCATAAGGACGCATATGTACGGATATGTATTGGAAAGTCGCCCTTAAGGATTACGCTTACATCCTTTGCTTATGAGGTCGGTGGTTGGAAATTGGGAGGGGCTCAGCTATTTTCGACCACGGATATGGCTTTATCACATGATGAGGAACATGCTGATAAGCGTTTTATGTGTCATAACAGCACATAAGTATTTTTAATCATTTTTCAAAAATAGCCGTTCTGCCGTATCTTTCAGTGCAAGGTGCCGTCGGTCATCCCCGACGTGACGTCACGCCGGGGATTTCCAGATTTTCCTACTAGACTTCGACGCCCCCTGAGTGGGACCGTGTCAGTGCCGGTAATGTTTTGATGAGGCCGAGGGGAGGGCACGCCATGTCATGCCCACGAAGATAAAGGACTTCCGAGGTCGAGGGACACGGATCGTCGGGCATTTAAGCCTGACGGCTAAGCGCCCTGCGCTAACAAAAAGGAGCGGAATTATAACCCGGCAGTTGCTGGGGTATTTCGCCACCCACCGTTTGCTGGGGGGGGGGGGGGGGCGTTAAACGCCCCCAGCCGATAACTCGAGAACCAATAGGCGCAGCGAAACGCACGAGGCGGCAAACGAAAGAACGCGACGAGACGCTTCAGATGAGTACTTTTAAGTTGAATTTTGAGGTCACAGGTCGGGTCAAGGTCAGGTCAAACACCTGAAATCGGGCTTTCAGTAGCAGATGGACTTCAGGACTTCGCAAAGGGCGCCTCTCGTCATAAACTCTGTCAAAACGGTGCACAATCCATCATATAAGGCCTACAAGTGTCAGCTCCATGTAGGGGTCAGTCAAGCATAGGTCAGGGTCAAGGTCAGGTCAACCGGGTAGGCACATATCCCCGAAAATCAAAACTGATATTCGCAGCCCATGACACATGTTTTATGGGTAATTTGGGGGCGTAGAACACGATGGTGATATTCATTTTATCATATGTGTACGTGTTTGGCTCAAAAAGTTCAATTTAAGAAATGTATGTATCATGGTCGTGAAGTAGGTAGTCACGAGAAATTGCCAAGATTCAGTTCAAGATTTTGGAAAATGCGGAACGATAATCAATCATCGAAGATACACTGAAAACAATTTAACCCAAGGCTGGCGAGTAAACCGATGTTTCACGGGTACCCCTATCCGCAACCATTTTTAACCACCCTCCCAGGAGTAGTGCTAGGTTCCATTGCGGTGTAGTCGTACCTGCTCTGAGCGGACATAACCGCTGTCAGCGAACATGTCCGCTGAGGCAGATACGACTACACTGCAATGGGACCTTACTGTACTCCTGGGAGGGTGGTTAAAAATGGTTGCGGATAGGGGTACCCGCGAAACACCGGTTTACTCGCCGGCCTTGGGTTAAATTGTTTTCAGTGTAGCCATTTGATTGTTCATGGTATTGGCAGTCTAATGGCGTTTACTGCATGTCTGTATGTCTGTTCTGTGATTTTATATGATTTTTTGAACATATGCCGTTTTTGGTCGAAAACTCAGAAATCATGACGTCACTAAAACCTCGCTATCTCAAAATTTTTCGGACCGATTTTTTTTTTTGAAACTTTGTCACAATAAACTTCAATCAATTCCCTACAGGTACCCAAAATTTGGCGCGCCTGCGGCGCGCCGTTTTTATGCTATGGCCCGGCGAAAAAAGTGGGGGCGTTTAACGCCCCCCCCCCCAGCAACTCGCGGGATGACATATTCGCACGCAGGGTCTGTGGCGTCTGCACGACTAAAGTGTACCAACCTGAGCACGTTTTGTTCAAAGGTGAGTGAAGTCGACCAGTCGCACCATCGAAGGGTCACCGAAACCCAGTAAACATGCCGACGTCGGCCCGACGTCGGTCCAACCTCGGCACGACGTCGGCTGGATGTCGGATATGCCCGCATGTTCCGACGTCCAGCCGAGGCCCAGCCGACGTCGGGCCGACGTCGGACCGAGATAAATTGCCGAGGTCCAGCCGACGTCGGGCCGACGTCGGGGCGACGTCGGACCGACATCGGCCGCTGTTTTGACCGTTAAAATAATATAAAATACATGTTTCATGTTTCAAAAAGAGCTTTTGTATTCAAAATATCCTCAGGATATACATGTCCCATCAGTATACTTTCATCGTTATCTAAAGTCTTCGAAAAAATTGTCTTCAAGGGTATATATTCCCATTTACTGAATCATTCTCTTTTGACCGACAAGCAGAGTGGGTACCGGCGTAGCCACAGTACAGAACAACAGCTTTTATACCTGACTCACAACTTGTACAAATCACTGGACATGGGACGAGACTTTACTGCTATCTACCTCGACATTTCTAAATACTTTGACAAGATCTGGCATGACGGACTGTTGTACAAGAGTAAGCACGACTTCGGAATTACTGACTCACTTTTCGACTGGTTAAAATCATATCTTTGTGACAGGACACACCGAGTACGGATCAACAGCACATTCTCGGCCACTAAAACAATAAATGCGGGCTGCCCGCAGGGATCCGTACTCGGGCCTTTGCTGGCACTTATGTATCTCGACGGACTTTCAAGACGAATAAAGAATGACATTCTCTTTTTCGCTGACGACACATCTATCTACGCCTCGCACACGACAGCAGACATTGACGCCGTACAGCTATCACTACAACAAGACCTCAACGAAATCCACAAATATGGTCGAGAATGGGCAATTACATTCAACGCTACGAAGACCATCCAACAAACATTTTCACACAGACATCAGTACACACCACCAAAGCTCACTTTCGAGGGCGCAAACGTACCCATTCATGAAACTCATACTCACCTTGGCTTGACACTTTCTAAGGACCTACGCTTCCACCAACACGTCAATGCAATATGCAACAAGGTACACAAATCACTCAGTCCACTCTACTCCATTGCACGTTACATACCAAGGCCCATTCTCGACCAAATTTACAAGACGTATATAAGACCTTACTTTGACTACTGTGACACAATATATGACGGACACATAACAATACAAGACGCTGCCCGACTTGACACGCTACAAAACAGAGCAGGGAGACTTGTGACGGGGGCTATGTTCAGGACGTCAACCGAAAAACTTCTACAAGACTTGGGCTGGGACAAACTGACTGTAAGACGACAAATACACAAACTCACTTTATATCATACATTCACTAATCCAAGACACCAAACGCCAAATTATATCACGATGATCATGCCAGAAACACGTGCAGAAAACACCGGCAGAACACTACCTACGTAACTCCAACACACACACCATGCCTCCCAACCGAACCACATCCTTCCAGAAGTCCTTTTTCCCCTCAACAGGCAAATCCTGGAACCAGCTTCCCGAATCCATCCGATCCCTTCCTCCTCGTTCCTTTCAACGAGAGATCTCGAGGCGACTGGGGGTGCCTGGGCCTTCTCCCTTTTACAAAATTGGCACTAAAATGGGCAATATTTTCCATTCTAGGCTACGAATGCAAATGTCACAACTAAATTCACATTTATTTCAAATACAAAGGCACGATACACCTGAATGTGCTTGTGGCTTTGAAACAGAAAATATTCATCATTTCATTCTCGCGTGTCCCAACTATAATTTGCAGAGAGAGGAACTTTACCGGGACATGTTGCAAATTTTTGGCGAAAATTTTGGTCAAATGTCAACTACACGGTTATTACGTGTTCTTTTGCATGGCGACGATCTTGGCGGCGGGGGCTGTCGTGCGGTGGCTCAGCATTTCCAAAATTTCTTGCTTCGTTCGCACAGATTTACCCACGGTCATAGAATACTAAGGTAACACGGAGCCGAAGCTTCAAGCCAGGGGACACGGGAGGCATGCCGTCAGCTGTCCTTTTATAAACAATCGGTTTCTTTGGCTTAATTTCTTATGTTTTTCTGATGTTTTGCATCAATGAGGTACATCAAAAATTAAGTTTTATTTTTTATGAGGTGGGAAATATTTTTCTGTCCAAACCATTCCCGTTTAAAGAAAATAGACAAAGGGAGAGTTTACCCAGGACCCTATGGAGGTTGTTTACATGAGTTTACCCAGGGCCCTATGGGAGAGAATTAACACGTGCTTCTATGGGGCGAATTCGTTGCAATAAATGGCGCAGTAGCGACATTACTTTTGTTCGATGTCTCTCGGACGACAAAGATTCTACGCCGTTTGGCCAATCACATTCCATAATCGCAGCCGAGCCCGTTGACCTAGAACGGGATTCGCCGGACGACGTACAATCTTCGTCGTCCGAGAGACATCGAACGAGGGGTACATCCAAGGCTATATAAACCGGTACATCGACTGAATATACATTGCGATTCAATATTCAGTAGGTATTTTATGACCGTGATTGCAATTTGCATTTGAGCTCAGCAGTCGAGTAAGTTGTGCCAAAAATACCAGAAGTGTTGCATGCCCTGGATGCAGAAAAACAAGATTAAGATGAGTGGATCAAGATGTAGGTATCTTTCGTGCAGATCAAGATGTATCAAGATGTAGGTACCTTTCACTTAAGATCCATGCAGGTGAGGTTCCAGTGAAATTTGAATTCGATAGGTAGCCATTTTTGCTTTGGCTTTGATACCTACTTGTGGTAAGGAAACATGATTATTGTTGCATGAACTGCCCACTGCCCATTGCTGTCTTGTCTCGCGTTCAATATCCGATCACCATTCTTAAATAGCTCACCTTACCATATGGAAATCAGGTTTTAGGAGGCCACTAGGCCTGTGGGGCCTGGTCTCAATGAGCTCCCAGTGCTTAGGACAGTCAAGCTCATATGTTGGGTAAGATCAGGTTCAGGTAGGCCAGTATGCACTCTGCAAAGCATGGCAATTTCGACAAGATCTTGTCTGTGCTGGCTTGTCCGGCTGGTGAGGCTTTGGTGTGGCGTGGATTTAGCTTGGTGCAGTGCGGATTTTGTGTAGCGCGGTGCGGATTTGGCCTGGTGTGGTCAGGTGGTGGGGGATGTAGTGTAGTGCATTTCAAATGTGGCTTGGTGATGGACATGATGGACCCAACAAAATTGATGGCCAAAATTGAAAAAAAGCATTAATGGAGCTTTAACATGCAATTTAGTGTGCTCTCGGGCTGATAGGTGTGCCGTGGTCAGAACGGATTGTGCCAGTGCTGGTGCCTGGTGGTCCCACCAATCACGGGTGCCATCTCCTGTTGTGACCCAGGGGGTCTAGTCAAAACCTTACCTATTTCTGCTAACCTAAACCTATTTCTTACAAATTAGGCAAAAATGTGATTATGGTATAATGATAAAATGATTCAAAAGTCTTCATTTCACTCAAATATTAAACCTGGCCCTTTTTTCAGGCGCAAGCTCTGGATGAACTTCTGCGGTGACGTCGGCATTCTTACAGGAGAACCCAAGATTCGCTGTACCTGTATGCATTTCAAAACTGAATAATTGATAGCAGCAAGTAAATATTTGAAGTTGCAGCCAAATGCTGTGCCTTCTCTGCTGCAAGAACTACATGTCACCATTGAAGCAAGGTAAGTGTTTAAAGAAATTGTTCACCTTCTGTGAATAATTTGATGAATAAAATTTAAAAAGATGTGTTAAAAATGTGATGAATAAAATTTAAATGCATTCTGACTTGGAATTACACACTTCTTCTAAAGGGATTTCATTATTTTAATGATTAAAGTTATGAACACGAACAGCTGAACAACCTATCAGCTGCAAGGGATTCTGCTCCTGTAAGTGCTCTCATCGCTGATTGGCCACTGTGTGTTGAAGAGGTTTCTGCTAGCTGTAAATGAGCACTAGGTAGAACATGAATTTAAGCACCAATATTCACTGATAAAAGGTGAATATCTCAAACGATTCAAATATAAGGCATACGCAAATCTGCTGTATCAGACTGCTATCTCAGTTTAAAATCCCATGTTAAAGGTGAACTATTTCCTTGACAGGACCAGCTCGACTCCTGCAGTAGGAGTCCAGCCTCGTCCAGTCGTCCCCGCTCGCCAAGACCAGCCGGGCTCCTGCAATAGGGGTCCAGGCTGACCCGTTCGTCCAGTAACCGCCGCTCGTCAGCACCAGCTGGGCTCCTGTAGTAGGGGTCCAGCCTCGTCCAGTCGCCGCCGCTCGCCAAGACCAGCTGGGCTCCTGTAGTATGGGGCTAGGATGGCCCGTTCATCAACCGGTCCCGAAGTCACATCGCTGTCAGCCAGCCGAACTCAGTACATAAGTCACCAACCCTGAATGTTGCCAGCCAAAGTCGGCAGTTTCCTTCGGACAGTCATCTCACCAGTGTTGTACAGTGTACATGTACAAGGTTAGTGACGCAGTTAAATGCGTCAATTAAATGCGAGGACGTGCGCTTGTATGCAGCGTTTTGTCATGTTGAGCTGCATGGGTGTCGATTTTCACCGAATTGAGGGTGCCCAGTGCCCACTGCCCGGGCGCAGCAAATTCGCCGCCGCCTTAGCGGTGACCTTGACCTGCACCGTCTGTTGGGGCTCCAAAGCCAAGCCAGCCGAGCCGGCGGGAAATTTAGACAGCTTGAGCACCCCCAACCCGGCGGAAATTGACACCTATGTTGAGCTGTATGGATGCGTTTTAGCCTTCCGCCGTGGTGGTAGATAGCAGCCTACATGCAGAATTAGCCAGGCTTATTGGCGGACTCATTATTGGATTCATTGTGTCACGTTTGTCGGCACGTGTAAGATGTGCTTAACTGCCATTGGCTCTCGGCCTGGCGACTTCTGGGGACCACGTAATGGGGATGACAATTGGGATCCTGTGCCTTAAGCCGGCCATTTACGTCCATGGCTATATACCCCCGTACTAGGGCCAGTTATGACGTATATAGGGATCCACGAGATCTTTTTTGATGAATGGGTTGTGCAGTGTTGAGATCCGCGTGTAACGTCACTGTTTGGCCAGTCTGCCCTCAAACGCGTCATCTTTACTCGTATTTTATTTGCATGAACGCCTTGCATGGTCCAGTGGTTTATATAGATATCTTCCTTGCACTAGCTAGTTTTATGTGGCCAGGTTGATTGCCTGTCAGCGCGGTCACGCTGTCGTCTTTCGATTGTTGCGCTTAAATGCGGCGAGATGAATATAGGATTTCCTTTGATGCTATTTAGTACCTGCGCCCAGCTCAACTGGAGCCTTCGGACGGCGCACCTCTTGGCCGGCGTCGTTATCTGAAACTTATTTTCCCGGGCGTATGTTGCAACTTGTTGATTGCCAGCGTCGTTGTATTACGTACGCGAAAGCAGTAGCGGCGGAACACCTTCAATTAAGGGGAAGGGGGGGGGGGGCACTGCCGACTTTTGGTCCCATTCTTTCCATGTAACCATAGAGCCCATGTTAAAATGCCAAAATCAAAGGGGTCACGGTGCCCCGGTGCCCTCCCCGTTCCGCCGCCTCTGCGCGAAAGTACCAACAGTTTCCAGTTGTTTGTGTCCCAATGTTTTTTATGAGTTGGACGATTGGGCTTTTCCCATCGCTGATAGGTTATGAAATTATTTTGTTAAGCGCTCTAAAATTGTTTCTCTACAAGTCATTAGAAGCAACAAATCCAAATCCAAATCCAACAAATAGATATTGATGGATACGATCTCAAGGGGGCCGATAAGAAGGAAGAGCGCGCGGCGCAATGATTGTGGAGCACAGCACACGATTAATGTGAGGCGCATTTAAGCGAGAAATAACTTAATTAAACAGAAATGAGCAGAGTACCAGCATTGAAACTGCACCAGTACCAGCATTGAAACTAAATATAAAATATCTCAGAAGGTTGCGCTTTTGGAGTGAATTGTGGTGCTTTACGCCGTACATCATGCTTAATGAATGTGACCGTCGTGTTTGTGGGATCCCCGTCGGTACTAGTCAGCCCCACGAATCGTGGTAGATCATAAAATAGGCATTGATTTTAAAAGCGATTTTCCACGGCCTCTCAGCAGTAGCGGCAGAACACCTTCAATTAAAGGGGGGGGGGGGGGGACACTGCCGACTTTTGGTCCCATTCTTTCCGTGCAACGCCCATACGGCTAATGTTAAAATGCCAAAATTAAAGGGGGCACGGTGCCCCGGTGCCCGCCGCCCGGCCCGTTCCGCCGCCTATGCCTCTCAGGGTTGGTTCGAAAATGGGCACGGCCGAGGATAATCTTTGCCTCCGGTTATCATTTTGATATATCTACGAAACGGGTGCTGGGTGGTACACGAAAGCAGCTTTTTCAGGTGAGTTGAAAGGGGAAGAGGTTCTTTGAATTACCATTTCGGACCATGGCTCTAAAAAGCGCTAGGTTAAAACTATTGTTATAATTCCTATCGTAAACCATCGGACGCTCGACGCTCCATTGGCATTGGTACGATGTGCCGGTAATCGCTCGCCGAGAATGATAACGTGGCAGCTTTACTGATATGTAGGATTATCAATTAAATGTAATAGAAACGATATCAACCCCGCGTTCGATGTCTCTCGGACGGCGAAGATTCTACGTCGTCCGGCCAATCACGTTTCATGACCGCAGCCGAGCCCCCGTTGACCTTGAACGGGATTGGCCGGACGACGTAGAATCTTCGCCGTCCGAGAGACATCGAACGCGGGGTAAATCCACTACCTCTTTAGAAGCTCTTGAAATAAACCTGGCTATCTGGTTGTCGAAGCCAGGCAAATTATATGCTTGGAATGACTAAATGTCCATTGTCCATGACATCATTAAATTGAATTATTTTCCTTCTTAGCACTTAAAATACATTCCAGCGACACAAAACTCCCAAAAGTCTGATATCTTGCCCGTGGTATCGTGGTACGATCGGCGAGTACCTTCATACGCAATGTCCATGGCTATGCGAAGTCTAAGGTTGGCCTACATAGCCTTGGGTTGGCCTATGGTATTGCCTGTTTATCCTATTTCATATCGTATCTATGAAAATAAAGTGTTCACGATCGCATAGCCAAACTGAGAGCAAAATATTTATTTGCAAAACTCCAGCAATACCCCCCGCTTGATACTATAAAAAATATTGCACACGATCATGCAAAGCCGTGAATCTTACCGCCTTTATTTAGCGCCGGCGTTCCCGCGTTAATAATTTCTCCTGAATCGGAGGACCAATAATCAGCTGACGCACCGTTGTTTTGATGTCGGCGGACCGTGCCAGCCTGGATTTACCTATTAATTTACCTACCTCATTCAGTTTTGTGGGCGGCGTCCCCGGTGGGCTGAGTGACGTCAGCGCGGGTTGGGTCGGTGGCCTGTCGTGGCGGCGGCAGTGGTAGTTTTGTTTCATTACGCTACGTTACCTTCATTACGTTGTATGTTTATGTTATATTCGACGTTGATCTGAAGGCTATGTTCATGTTGTTTTATGTTTATGATGTCTATCTGATTATGTTACAAGAGGTGGTGCCTAGAGTCAAGCACAATGTGCTTTTGCACCACTCTTATATTATTTTGCTTTATCTCTGTTATTCATGTTCATTTTCCGATCGTTTTACTTATAGGTTGTCGATGCGCAATAAACATTCTGGAATGGAATGGAATGGAAGGAAACTCAAATCTTCCTCCACGCCGCAACCCCCTGATCCGGACTGGACGGGAAACTTTATCCCATTTGGGATTGCCCGTAAGCCGAGCTCGCCCGTAGCCGGGTGCGGTGAGTGCTTGGGGGCTGCTCGGCCTATCCTTTGGTCAGGCTCAGCCCCGGCAACTCACCAGGGCCGGGCCCAGTTCATATAGAAAGGCCAGTCGGCAAGTGTCACTTTGCCAAAGTGCCACTTATCAAAGGGACACTTTGGGAAACGTTGGTGCAGGTGTGTAAGAGTGGCTATATGAATCCATTGTGGGGTCGCCCTTTCCAATAAGTGTCACGTAACAGCAATGGGACCAGGGACTCTATATGAACTGGACCTAGGGTGCTCGCGAAGAAGACCAATGTCTCCATCCTATGATCCTTCCGGCTCTGACATGGTCTTGTCAGACCGAAAGGGCATAACCCAACAAAACAAACCAATCCCGTTAGCTGGCTGCGTGGTGTAGTGGTTAGCGCACTAACCTCGCTTTCGAATGACACCGGGTTCGAATGCCATCGCCGGCTGATGCTTTTGACGTGTTGTCCCAGTAAACATGCCGACGTCGGCGACTGGGGGCTCGAATCCCGCCGCCGGTTGATACTTTTGGCGCGTTGTCCCAATAAACATGCCGACGTCGGCCCCGTCGGTCCAACGACAAACGATCTCGTCAACCTCGGCACTAACGATCTCGGCCCGACGTCGGCTCGACGTCGGCTGGACTTCGGCTGGACGTCGGAACATGCGGGCATATCCGACGTCCAGCCGATGTCGGGCCGAGGTTGGACCGACGTTTGGCCGACGTCGGGCCGAGCCTCGGCCCGACGTCGGGCCGACGTCGTCATGTTTACTGGGAAGGGTCAAAAGGGCTATCTAATCTTTTCCGCGGCGCTGTATAGCTCTATGTAGGTATATGGTTGGCTCCCGAGTTGTGCGTCCGGTGTTAAAAAAAAAACAAAACTGAAAGGCAATATCTTTCATTGAATGACCTCTGGTGAACTGACTTTTGACTTAGCCTAAAAAAACAAATGTCATATTTTCGCCCTTATTTTGGACGTTCTTTCGAATGCCGTTTACTGCTTGTCACTACGTGACCCAATTTCCGAGTTAAAAGGGCGGATGTTCGACCCCCCCCCCTCCCTCCCGAGCAGGGCGTGGAAATCAAGGACCCTCAGCGGAGCGCGGGTTAGACATCTTGAGTTGACAACCAAATAAGCCCGTTTGCCTTTGGACGACAACCACCGAAACACTTTTTTCAGCCCTGTGCTTGCGAAATTTTTCGTCATCCCGGCCTTGGTCATCCCGCCAGCAGACAGCTGCAGCGATAGTGTGTGGTTGGATTGGAAATGCTCCAACTATGTACTGTGGTTTATCTTATTTGGTGGGAAACGCTAACAAGATAAATAATTTGTTCTATATAAAAAACTCTGGTGCACTGCCAGTTCAAGGGGAATGCGGACAAATGAAATGACCGAAAATTGAATTGCTCCTAAACTATAAAGTGTAGGTATCAAATTTCAGTTCTAGAGGGCAGCGGAAAGTAGGGTGGGATAGAATATTGGGTGAGACGAACATGTACAATACAACACTCAATAAGCTCCTGGCTGCTGGCTGATTGCCTTTGGGCGACTCCAACCTAGCGCTCGATCACTGATCAGCCGCTAAGACCAAAGGGCACCGTCGGCCCCAGACGGGGTCTGAAATGGGGGAAGCCGAAAAGCGGGACCCAAACGCCAGTGGCTTGGCCAACTGAGCGAGATGGTTCATGATGGTTCATGGGTGCCGCACCCATGAACCATCATGAACCATCTCGCTGTCCATTGCTGGCCATGCGCTCAGGTCCGTACACATACAAATCGGGGCGTGACATGGCGGTCACTGCACCCTTCCCCGAGACCGCCAGTGGCAAGGAATTTCGGGCGGTAGGCGCCCGTCGCTGAGACGAACTTCTGATGGAGCTTAGTAACTGTGCACATGACACACAGTGACCGTTTTGTGGCAGCACAACGCGGATGCAACCATCATCCTGGATGCTGCTGGGGCTGCAGTGATCCAATGCTGCTGAAAACCTTAATCACTCAAAAATCACGTAAAACGCATGCGCAATGCCTTCATATCACCACCAAACATTTACCTCTGTCAGCAATGAAAAACGTGTATTCAGTATTTACACAGAAATAAATTGTGTGAAGCCTGTACACTTGTACGAGAAGTGGTTAGGTGAGTTGACCCGCACAAATGTAGGAATGTGACAGTGAAACGGTAAACGGCATTGATGTACGGAAAGGTGGCCTATGCGTGTCTTTTCATCGAACTATCACGCGACTTTTGCCTGGTGAACCAAATGGAGGAGCATCCGTCAGCGACAGGTCTCAGGTCATTGGCGAATCCAGAGAGGTTGCCTTTCAGGTGCTGCGTTTGGGGACACTCCGAACAATTACTAAATTCAAAATTGCTTGGACTTTGGCTTTCACATGGATTTCAATTGTTCTTTTGCACTCAACTAGCGGATTCCTGAAACACAACTTGTTACAGTTATCGTATGATAATACTCATTTTCATACTATTGTAGACACGGCCAGGGCCAGCATCCAACGCAGCTGCGCCCTTGGATTCGCCAGAGCTATCAAAAGACATCGACTTTTGACATGCACGTTATTGTACATTTCCGTTCCTCGACTGAGATCGTCCTTGCAGCGCTGCAACATGTATTTCAATCCATAAATCAGCACTCAGACAGAAACGAAAAAAAAAACATTCGAGTAGTGCAATGTTGAAGTGACTAGAAATGTATCACGAAAATCGACACAAGCATGACCAGTCGTTACTCACTGTAGGAATAGTATTTCAACTGTTGATACGCCATTCATATGCATTAATGCAGCATTTCGCATCAGTTCACGTCTCGCGAAGCGAACTATCACTCATTTGCAATGGACGGACTCGTCAGCTTACTGATATCGACAATTGTAGAGGCAGTCTTCGTGACCCAGAGAGACCGGGCTGTTCCGGATTCCCACAACAGATCCAAGGCGTCTCACTGAAACGAGTTTCAGTTACAGGGTTCATGCCCCAGCCAAGTCACACAAAAATCGGCAGACTTCGGTACTCGGTAGTCTTTCCACTGTACACCATTCAGCTGCTCCAGCACACCGGCTGCAAGCACCGGACTCTGGAAAGCAGACCTCGGGACACATCCGTTCGGAAGCAGCGGAGGATAAGCCGGCAGGGGCGGCCGTCACGTGGGGACGAACCGAAGGAGCGGCTTGGCCAGCACACGCTCGTTGAAATGGAGGAGCAGGACGGCAGCGCCCCCACCGGCAGCGGCCAGGAACAGTAGTACGACCAGCACCAGCCGCCACACGTAGAGCGGATCGACAATCTGCCAGCGAGACGGCGGCACAAACGGTCTGAGGCAGACAACACAAAATAATGGAAGGGGGCAATGAGGGGGTAAATGGGGCCAATGACGGCTTTCGTATCGTCACGTAAGCTATGATATTGAACGCAACTGAAGTCTTACGTGTTCCAATTGCTTGCGACAGCAATACAATTTTTTTCAAGCAAAAGGATCCAAATATTAACCAGACAACACTGCAATGTCACATCAATGCCTGCTCACGAATATCGCTGTTTCCATATATATCAGCACCCTGAATCCTGTGCGATAGCGGAGCCCAAACATTCCAAAACATAATCTCCTTTACTCACCCGTCCATCATCGGTATCCACGTGGCCTGCCGCCTTGATGGGCATCCGACTCAGGAGAAACGTGAAGATGGCCGCTGCCGCCACGGACGACAGCGCGAGCGTGCGGCGTGCGCGCATGAACACCAGGCAGACGAGGATGACCAGCGACCAGAGAAGGACGAGTGTGAACAGGCCAGGCCCAAGGCCCAGCACAGTCGTCATTTTGGTCAGCCTGCAAGAAGCATGGGGAAAATTTTGTCAACATTGTGCTTTTGGAGAATGTAGAAATGGTAATCTGATTTGTTCACATGATAAAACCCATCTTTCACAAACATGTTTTGACATTTCCTTTTGAGTCCCAATTTGAGCATGAAAAGCAGAAGATGGCTAATTAATCAGAGTCACGTTTTCCATGTTAGGCCTTGAAACTTGCAAGATTGCTTCAAGAAAGATAGAAAACTTAGATACCTTTCTAATATGAACTATATGATCACAGATCAATATATCGACTTCAAAAGAAATGCCATTGTCCATTGTTACAGATGGAGTCAGAGTTGATTATTGAAAACAGGAGTCATAGTCAGTCACAAAAATCCAGTGACTATGCAGCATTGCATCTAAGACATCTGGCACAGCGGACCTTGAAACTTCTAAGCAAACTTTGTATTAAGCTCTCAAACATTATGAATGCTAGCTGCAGGATAGATCATACTATATACAACTAGCTTGTACTTGTTCATACTGTTATGAAATATTAATGAAATACAAGGAAATAAAACATACAAATATCAATTTCTAGTTGTACATTTTCCATCTTCATTTTCAATTTGCAGAGAAAACAGTGAAAACCAAAACAAGTAAGAAGCATTAAGAATTATCATGTTTTATGCATCTTGATCAAAGCAATACTTTTATGCCTTTTAGGGGAGAGTGGGGCTAGCTGTTACAGGGGTAAGTTGTTACAAAGGAAATATCTTTAAAAATACTCTTGATATGGCGCCAATATTTACGCTAGCAGAAAGGTTACGCACATTTTACATGTCACTGCAGGCTCAGACCTGGTGGAACGCCATGTCGCCCTGTAGGCGCACTGGGGTAAGTTGTGACAGCAAAAGTATTTTTTGCTGTCCAACACTTTGGGTCGTTTTTTGTCAAGGTTATTTGTGTAAGAATGTTGAATGCATGTTCACAAAATTAAGCGATGATTTCTTTTGTAAGATCACCAAGAAAAACGCACTAGCCTCTTCATGTAAACAAACATTTGAGTTCAGTCTTGAGAAATTCGGCCGCCGCAGGGCCGGGGCATGTTTAAAGATGGCTACCCAAGACTGCTTATAGCGTGCTCCATTTCACCTGGGCGTAAATTTTGTGCAGAAAATCAAACTCCGGTCAGTATGGCAATGCATGGTGCCCTTGGCGTCGCAGTAAAGGCAAATCAGAGATTGAGCCATGTTTGATGAGCCTTTTCATGCGTGTGGAGTACAGTAATGGTTTATGCTTTATTGTTCTTGCCTTTCAATGAGAAAGGAAAGCATGTTTAGTATTATCCATTAGGGAGGCTCACGATCGGTTCCGATAGGACGGGCAATGACCGTTATAATGATGAAGAAACTACGAAAAAAGAAGTGTAACATGTTACCCCATATCGTGTATCAAGTTGCCCCATAATTTTTCAACTTACCCCAAAAATATTGCTTTGGTTTTCTGAATTTCACACAAAAGTGAATAGTCGTAAAGAAGTGAAAGTTTGCATGTGCTTTCCAAATTGATTCAGCTAGCATGTGACCAAATTTGGTGCAATTTCATTGAATAGCTTGGCCACTAAGTGCAGAAGACCAAAAAGTGTAACGCATCGCCCCAGTCTCCCCTATCTATCCATCTGACAACTTAACTATTGAAATATTGAAATTATTGTTATCATTGCCTGTGCTGAAAACAAAGACTGCCCAATGCACCATGTCACTTTCCAAAATTTAGTGGTAAGGCCAATGGTCTATTTTTGGATACCGAAGTCACTCTTACCATCTGCCGTGCAAAGGCAAAAACGCATAACTAACAATTTTGGCAAAATTTGTTTTTTTATACCATTCGATTCCTCTCTATGAGCTACACATGCTCATATCGATATTAAAGTCTATACGTCATTTAATAACTAAATATTTCATATATAAGTTTGGAAAAAGCACACACAACACAATTAGGCAGGCACCCACAGAGGCAAAAACACATAACTTTTACATATCTGCTCCCTGCTGGTAATCGTCTGGATTAAATAATCCTCCTTCCAAAACAAAAACGCATATCTGTTGCAGATACAGGCACGTATCCAGGATTTCGCTCAGGGGGGGGGGGGGGGGGGGCGACAGCCGAGAAGGGCCCGGAGGTCAGCCAAAAGGGGCCCCACAGCGACTGCCTATCCTGGCGTGTAAAAATTCGAGAATGTCGAAAAAAACAGCAAATTTACGATAGAATTTGGCATTGTAAATGAAAATGCATTGTCTTGCGTTTCTCGACCTTGATAACATGTTTGCAGTTAGCTTCCGTTGAAGTTCGTTTTTGCAGTTCACTTCCGTTGAAGTTCGTTAACCCGCGCCCGGCCGGGGGGGGGGGGGGGGGGGCTGTTTGAACACCTCCTCCTTGCGGTTTTGCGTGGATATAAAAAAGAGGGATGAATCTTATCTACAGATATGAAAATTTTACACCCAGGTCGCTCAAGGTCAGGTCACCAGACCACGTCAAGTGACCTCACCTCAGAAAAGGTTAGAATGCTCTCCATAGCAACACCGACTGAACGATCGGCTTGAAACTTTTAGCGATTGATAAGAGTAACAGTATGTGTAAAATGATTATCTCGAAATTTGCATACCGGTGGTGACATAAGGTCAAGTCAATTTTTGCGCCCTCTCCATTAGGTTTTATAAATGGGAGAAAATCGAAAGGTGCCTCTTTTAGGCAAACGTCATCCTAGGCACCCTCAATCACCTGGTTACATAAAAAATGACAACCTAAATCGGAAATTTGTACCCGTGACCCCTCCTTATGTCTATGGGGTCATCTCAGGTCACGAAACGTCTCCACAGCTTTTGACAATAGCATTTGTTAGAGACACGCTAGAGCGTTGAAAACACCTTAGATGTGTTCAGGCCTTATCGACGATACGGTTTGACGGATGTGCAACATGACCTTTCAGGTCAGGTCACCTTGAATTTAGTTCAAATTTTCTAAATGACCTGATAAGGTCAAATTATATGTAGTTCATTCGACGCGTCTCGACGAGAGTAACACGATGCTGACAAAAGAAATGTCGTGCCTTTTCCTGAGTCGAAAATTGTTAAAGAAAAAAAGTGTTTCATAAAAACGACTATTTTAAAAGTTTTTTCTCTCAAGAGGCTAAACCGTTAACCCGAGCACCGACGGGGGGGCTGTTATCCGCCCCCCCCCCTTGAGGTTATCGTGAATAGCGGGAAAACCGCGGCGCTACGCGCCGCGAAATTTGGCATGACTATTTTCTCATTAATTTTACACATGGTGTGCAAGTTTGAACCTCCCAACTTTTAAGGTCAGATCACCAGGTTACTTCGAATGACCCAACCTCAAATCACTTTTTTGCAACTTTGTCACGTCGTGTCAGAGCTACAGTAGATAACGGAGTATGATTCGATGCGGATTGACGAGAGGATCACGATGGTGCCCTTAGTTTGTTCCTAGCTTGGCATATTCGAAAGTTATTCGAGAAAAACTCTTCATATCTAGCGCCGCCATTTTGACTTTTTTACCCCTGTGACGTCATCTTTGACCTGATCTGGAAATGACCTAATTAAAAATTGTAGACCTTGTCCGTGCGTACCCCATGCCGTTTACCGCTTGTCGCTATCTTGCTTCGTTCTTGAGATCTCAGGGGGCGGGCGGTCATCCGCCCTCCCCGTCGGTTCTAAGTTGGCGCGGACCCCCGTCGGTGCGCGGGTTAATCGCAGGTCAATTCTGAGAACAGTTTACGGAAAGAACGTTAAAAGAACTATTGAATGCGTTTTTTTTGTGGCGCTGCTGCAGCTCTGTTTGTACCCGGGTTATGCGCCGGAGTTGTCAAACAATGTTGAAATAGGCAAAATGTGACCTTTGCTGACTTATGGTGACCTGACCTTTGACCTGACCTAGAAAATGACCGAGTTACTTTCGGCATGATTTTTTACGCTCTTCCGAATGCCACGTACGCTTACGTGTCGCTACGTGGCCCAGGAGCCGAGTTAGAGAGAGAGAGGGTGTTCAAACGCCTCCCCCACCGCCTGTCCCAAACGCCATCCGTGGCGCAACTATGGAGCTCATTTTGTTCGGAGAACTGTAAACAGGAGCAGCCCCATGAGGTCAGTCGAAAGGGTCCCATCATCGGCTGTTGCCTGTTCCTCGGGCCCCATGGCCTGGGCAGGGCCTTCTCAGCGGGCCCTTCCGTTTCTGGGGCCCGGCCAGGACAAGCTGTTTCTGAGACTGGGCACGGAAGTGTATATCTGGGCTCGCTTTCTTGATACGTTGTCGAGGCCGAGGGACCAATACTTAAGCTCAAAAGCCTGCTTCAAGGCTTTCTGAGCGGGCCCTTCCGCTTTTGTAGACCTCCCGGGCCCCCGTTTGTCATTGGCTTGGCCCGGTCCGCTTGTGGGGCCCGGCTAGGGACCCATATGAGCACCGGCAAGACCCTATGGGCCCTTTTTGGACCCGAAAGCCTGGGCAAGATCTTCTCAGCGGGCCCTTCCACATCTAGGGCACAGACAGGCCCTGTGACTGGGCACGGAAGAGGATTTTTTCGGATCCGCTAACCATAACTTCTCCGGGGCCAATTAGCTCAAAAGCGATACCTTTGGGCCCGATAAGGGACCCGTTTGGAGTCCGGCAGGGCGGGGCCCTTCCTCAAGCTCGAAGGCTCGAGCATATCCTTCTGAACGGGTCTTTCCGCTTTTGGGGCCCTGCCGGGCTCCAAATTGCCCTCGCTCTGCCCAAAAGTGGGCCGAAGGGCCCAGTTACGGACCTGTTTGTGGCCCGGCAGGGCCCCAGGGGCCCATCCGCGAACCAAAAAATTCGAACAAATCCTTCTGAACATGCCCTTCCGCTTTTTGGCCCAGCCGACCCCAAATTGTTCCTGACTAGGCCCCAAAGCGGGCCCTTCGGGCCCGCTTTCTTGCTGCCTAGCGGGCCCTGCTGGGCCCGCTTTTGGGGCCCGGCAGGGCCCAGGGGGGGGGGGGCGACCGCCCCCGTCGCCCCCCCCCCCCTTGGATACGTCCCTGTGCAGATATGCGTATTGTTGGTCTCCGTGTGCTATAATGTCTTTGCATTCCAAGACAAAAACGCATATCTGTGCAGATACGCGTTTTTGGCTTGGTAAACAGTGAACGAGCAACGTAGATGAGCGTTTTTGTCGTGGTGGAGCGCAGGGTTGTATACGACTCAATCAATAGCAATCAATTCAATCACGACAAATTTGGGAAACCAATCAAATCAATCAAGTCAGAGCAGTTTTCGGGAATTGATTCAATCGACTCAAACGCGACAATGAAAGGAATCAATCAACTCAATCAAACGACTCAAACCAAGATATACATTAGGTTTTTTGCCCCACCAACTTGGAAAAGTGTCCATAGCAGTCTGGTGTACCTACCTACCTACCTACCTACAGAAGAAACAAAAATATTGTCATTTAGAATTATAAATTACCATGCCATTCAAAGTTTCTATGTAATAAGGAAGGATACCTAGTGATGGACAGGTGGATCATGATATTGAGGTTCAATGGGTAGAATTGGAGCAGAAGTTTCATTTAATGGGTGCAAAATAACCCAGTAGTTGACTTCAATAAACGCCCCTTAACCCAAATCACCACCTTTCACCTAAAAGTTGTCAATTTAATTTTGGCCATATTCCAGCTAAGTCATCAGGCCATCTACCCCATGTAAAGCCCCCGTCTGTCTCTTATGTGAGTTATGCGGAGCTCTTCTGAATTGAACCCTGAACATAATGAACCTAGCTAGGTTACATGCCACACTGACACCATATTGATATGAAAGTGTTGAAAATGTGCTATAAATTTGACAACTTCATTAGGTATGCTTTATGAAGACAGCAGGAAAGCAGGTAGGAACCTACTTACCTGCCTAGATGTGTCACTGGCTACCAACAGTACCAACGAAGGTAGATAGGTTATATGTGAAGAATTCAAAACATTTTATTGCAATACAATTTGAAACTGTTAGGACTTGGGGATAGGGATGAGCATTAAAAATATATTTAAAAGGAAATAGAGAGGACAGGGACTCTGGAACCACAGGATAAGTTAAGGACAAAGGAAGAAGAACAAGGAAAATTAAATGCCGTTGGTGCGACTGCGAAAAAACAAAGAAAACGTTTTGCCAAGAAGTATGCTAAGCTTTTATAAATCCTTATTCTTCGTCTTTTGATTTTTTGGTAAGATGACGTCATTGATTATCATGTAGTATGGTAGATCATCATAAAATAAATCGGTTTTACAACGCCAATTTCGTTTTAATTATTATTTCAATTGAAATAAAACCACTTAATAATATTCGGTAAAATATTTTAAGGAAAATGAAATATATTAAATATGTTATGCCTAGGCTCTCAGGAGAAAAGGATCAACAAACGTTCTGCTGCAAATTAAACAATGCAGCAAATTAGCTATTGTAAACGTAATTAGCGAGACGAAAACGGCGCTTTTGTTTCAGTTATTTTTGTAGGGGTTTCAGATATTTATAGAGTTCAGTGGGTTGCTTCTGAGGAGATGTGGAGATGTGAATTAGTAATTAATCACACTTTATTATATAGGGCCTTGCACTTTATCATCTGGATTAAAAAAAAATTCCTGCTGAGTGCAGAAAGGTAGGTAGGTGCATCGCCAGGTTCTATCACAGGATTGGAGCAGTTATTGCAGTTGAAAGTCAAAGTTGGCTGTTCATGTTTAGGCCCTGTTCTTTATTTGGCCATCTACTCCATATTGCAGTTGTGATGACAAGCAGTTTTCAGTGTAGTTTTGTGATCTTTGATGTCATCAATTGGTGTCATTATTTTTCGTCAACTAAAACTTATTTCAACTTTCCATTCAATCGACTCAATCATACGAGTCACTCTAATTCAGTCGGTGACACACCAGGGAAATAAGCTAAAATTAGAGCGCTCTATTTATTGCTTCCGCTACTTCACCGTCTCCCATAGGGTCCTGTGTTGAGCTGGTGTCGAGGCTCTAAAAATGACGCCGATTTTTGCACCCTTCTCACGAAAACCGCTCGGACCGCCTGGAAAGTAATTGTTCCGCTCTAAAAATTTCATGATCGACGGGAAAATGAACGAGGAAAAGATTGGTCCTGAAATAATTCTGAACTCCCTGTAGAACTTATCGAAATATGGCTGCAAACTAGGAGCATGTCAAAATCGACAAAACAATACAAATAAACTTACCGGGATTTTTTTATTTTCCATGCATCTGTGTATTAAATCAGTCGCTTTTTCGGAAAGATCATCTTCTGTTTAATAAATAATTTCACAATTGCAATCGAGAAAAAAAAACATTTCTGCTGTGACAGCAGTTTTGGCATTGTGCCAGTTGTGTGGCGTGCGCGGTGCTGCGTGGTCGTTGGGTCGGAGTTGTGAGTATTTTCGGTGTATTAAATGGTTGATGGCCATTTGAACCAGCTTTATATTATTTCCTACCAAATTTTGCATCAAATTATTGCTTTGAAAGACCATTGAAACCACTTATCTCTTCATGAAACACGATCATATTCATCGTCGACGAGAATGGCGCGGGACTCCATGTGCGTTTCGTTCGAAATAAATCGTAAATTAAATAATATTCGATGATAAGTATCATATTCTAGTGACACATTTTCATAAAATAAGGCATAAACTTTGCAAGGAAGTCAACATTGGATAGTTGGATGCTTGTTTTGCTCACATATCCTTGTAGTAGTCAAATGGCTTAATTGTTAGATAAATGTAAATATATGTTTTGGCTTGATGTTTGCTGTGAAACCACCCAGCCACTTGCTGGTTGAGTGGTTTTCTGATAATTACCTGATAATCATTTCTCCTTTTCCTTAAAAGAAACTAAAATTCTTTTCAAAGTAACCCATTTTTAGGAAAGGCGGCTTGCTCATTGACATTTCATGTTCTTGTTTTGTTATTGCTGGCAGTATTTTGATACAATAATGCAATATGATTTTTTTGCAATAATAAAACCTAAGACAAACTTAGTTAATGCGTCAATCAAACACCCAACAGAAAGATTGTGAGTCCTTGTGACGTGAAGTAGAATATTCTATGAATGTGTTCTATAGAATATGCCAAATTTTAAATTAATTTATTATTTGATACTGATAGCTGAGCATGTGAATTATGCCACAATATAATTTCATTTTCTGGTTTTGAAATAGCTGGCAGTGTTTTACTTCAACAAATGTAATATACATGGAATACGTGTTATGTTATGTTAAAAGTTTAATAACAGCCAACAGAAGGGGCTGTTTCATCAGATAATGTTTGTACCTTATGCATTACCTTTCTTTTCTGCAGGACCATGCTTCCGCTGGGTGGTCGACATTTGCCTCCTGAAGAAGTTGAGCAACATGAAGACCACCAGATCCAGATGAGGTGTCTGCAGTTCATTTGGAACTCTGCAGACTACAAGTGGTATGCCAACCACAACCAAAGTGCTGTGATCATGGAGGCATGAACCTCATGACAACACTTCAGATTTGCAGTTTTACCAAAGTGTGATTCAAACCACCTGTGGCATCTCACTCAGTGCGTGAACAGTGTGATGATTGTGCAGTGTTCAGCTGCAACTAAGACATTTATTAGTGACTTGTTTTGCAATTAGCCACCAAAAGCATTTTTGGGCTGGCTGCTGTAATTTGTTGTGCACTGCGCAATAGTGGTAGTGTTATGTCACTTGTCAAGTTGTCAGTTGTGCATGTTGCATGTTTCTCTCCCCTCGGCCCTCATTATCAGTTAAGTGGTGAATTGGCATCACTCAGTCTCCCCAGATCTCCATTGACTGTCTGTCAACCACCTAACTTGAGATGGTATTTGCTAATAGTGTCAGAAAAGAAGTGTTTGTAGACATTTTTAGGAATATGAGCTCCGTTTCATGCGTGTTCCAGTGGTCATTTTGTCACATGTCCCATAGTGTAATAAATGGAAACTGTTGTTCCCTTTTGAAGGTACTCGCGGATGCAGAAAGCGTTGGGCCTAATTAATAAACGCACCCTCCTGTCAGCGACGCACGAAATCGACAAATATCATCCTTTTTAGAACAGGAGGAAACGAAAACTTGTGAACATAGCTGTACCTACAACAGTGCACAAGGAATTGAAAATCTGGGCGTTTTTGAAATTCGGAGGAACTCAAGTTGTCGACAGGTATGCCCCCTTGTACGTCAAAGACCGCCTAAAAAACAAACGTCTACAAAAGAAGGCAGTATTCGTATTTTCGTTGTAATTGCAACAGCCTAGCAACATGCATTGCGGTCCGATGGCGAATTACACTCGTGCTCAAAAACTATGCCGGCAACTGCCAATGCGCTTAGGTCATAGGTGAGGAGAGGAAGGGTTATGTCAGATGTCAACATCATAGAAATGGCTTCATCTATTGAGCTGTGCCTATTGTACATAATTCAACCAATCTATGCATTTCGTTTCTTGCTATCTACTCATGCTTTCACTCCAGCTTCAGAGTAATCATCCCATATTGTACGTCTTAAGATATTGATTTCTATGACGGTTTGCAATTGCTAGCCACGACTTATCTCAGTTTGGTGGCCCCGCATCGGTCCACTCGGCCGCTCTAAAATTGACTTACGGAGGAGGATGGTGACTTTTATTTTAGCTTCTCCGCTGACTGCGGGGAGCGCCGTCGCCGAGGTAGGAGCAATAATTAGCTTATGTTTGGGACTAATTTCCACGCTTAATTAACATTTTAATGTTATTTTAATTAATTCATGTTAATCTTTGACGCATTCTCTTTCTATTGATACCATCCACCGGTCTGAGAAGTACTGCCTTGCTGCGTAAGGGCCGATAAAAGATCACGCTTTTAGGGGTATCTCTTCAACATGGGGCAGGAGCAATAAATAGAGTGCTCTAATTTTAGCTTATTTCCCTGGTATGTCACCAACTGAATTTTCGGGAATCAAATCAGTCAACCAGTCGCTAAAGTCAAACGAGTCAGTCAACCAGTCATCTCGAAAAGTCAATCGACTCAATCCAATCAACTCAAAATACCCGCTGAATCAAATCAATCAATTCAATCGACTTGATTGGTATACAACCCTGGTGGAGCGATTCTCAATCATGTTCATTCGACAATTTTTGCAGATATGCGTTTTTGACCGCTTCTCCTGAGCGGAGGTATCGTAGTGAAACACGTGATTCTTTTTTCGATGAGTGAATCTGCCGTGAGAAGGGAAAGGCTCGTAACCGATATTATCTGCGAATGTAAGTTCTTGAATCCTCTTATACGGCCTTGCTTGAATCATTGGATTCCACTATATCACAATGAGGACAATGAGATGATCCATTCCATTCAAGTCGGGGGCCCCCTAATCATTGGACCGCCGAAGACCGTGTTAAAATGAGATGAAATAAAGATTGAAAAGACCGGGAGGGCCCATCTCGTTCCCCAGCAGTCTCATATGAGTCCATAAAATGCCTAGTATGTAGCGCAGCCAGGGTGATTGTGGTGAAATTGCAATGACACTCAAAAGGCCTCAAAGGATCCTCGGATGGCGTGACAGGGTCCTCGGATGGTCTCGAGGGCCATCAGTTAGCGTCAAATGGCCCTCATCTGGTGTCAAAGGGCCCTCAGATGGCCTCAAAGGGCCCTCAATTAGCGTCAAAGGGCCCTCAGATGGTGTCAAGGGGCACTCAGATGGCCTCAAAGGGCCCCAGATGACCTAAAAGGGCTTTCAAATGGCCTCAAAGGGCCTTCACCAACGTCAAACGGACTTCAGAAGGCCTTCAAGGGCGTCAAAGGGCCCTGAGCTGGCGTCAGAGGGCCCTGAGCTCGCGTCAAACGGCTCTCCGAAGGCCTTAAAGGGTCCTTAGCTGATGTCAGAGGACCCCCAGCTGGTGTCGGAGGGCCCTCAGCTGGCGCCAAATGGCCATCAGAAGGCCTCAAACGGTCCTCAGCTGAAGTCCAACCTTTTAAAAGGCCGGCAACCTTTTTAGCCCCGCCTTTTTAGGCTCAGCCCCGGCAACTCACCAGGGCCGGGCTCAGTTCATATAGAAAGGCCAGTCGGCAAGTGTCACTTTGCCAAAGTGCCACTTATCAAAGGGACACTTTGGGAAACGTTGGTTCAGGTGTGTAAGAGTGGCTATTTGAATCCATTGTGGG